CCAAAGACTATTTTCCAAAAAACTGCTTTGTCCAGGAGTTTGTCCACATTCCAGCCAGGATGGGATTTCTGTGCTCCCTCTCTCACAGCCCCAGGGACAGCAGGGGTGCTGATCTCTGCATACCCAGCTCCAACCCAGAGGCCACAGGAAAGGTCCAACACACCCAGAGGGAGCCCAGATCCCTACTGCAGCTCCCAGGGTCAGAACTGCCCAGCACAAGTTCATTCCTAAATATTGTTGTGCCCAAATCCATCTTTTTGGAGCAGCAGGTAACACTCTGTGACGTGTCCGTTGCCAGTTCTCGGTGCCAAAATGGGATAAAACACAATCTTGGCTGAATTTCCTCAGGCAAGACACAACCAAGGCAGCACAGGCCCTCCCTGCAGGAAGGTTTGCAGGCTGAACACATCACTGACAGGTTTTTCCCTGACTGAGCACCAACTTCACTTCAACAAGCAAACCAGATCAGCCTTCTGCTCCCAAGTCTGTCACACATTTCAGCAAACTGCTGCCCACAGGGATGCTCTGCACCATGGCAGAGACAATTCCTCACTCACCTGCTGCCTGTGCCAGCTCCCACTGGGCCAGCCTGGGACAGCAGAACAGCCCCAAGGAGGAAATGAGGAGATCTCCCAAAGAGCTGCAGGAGCTCGTGGTTACCATCCTCCTTCTAAACGTGCTGGGCTCCCAGCTGCAGAGATTTGAGCTCTGAGACCCACAGAACACCCCCAGGAGGCACTTCCATGGCTCTGTGATCCTGGGCTGCTCAGGAGGCAGCTGAGGAGGGGAGGACACCCAGGACCCCGGGGTTGGGGTGCCCAGTTTGGCACTGAGGTGCCTCTGAAGGGCTGCAGAGCTCTGCAGGTGCTCCCTGCCCAGCGTGGGAGTGCTGCTGGTTAAAGTTGCTCAAGTGGTGCCAGAACACACTTCAAGTGCAGATCTAAACCCAGAGGTCGAAGCCCCGGTGCCTGGAAGTGTTTCCTGTAAATAATTGCTGCTCTTCCCCCCCAGGGGATTTTCTGTGTCAGAGGTGCTGGGACACAGGGCCAGGGGGGCTTCTGGAACCTGCTCACCCCAGGGGCTGGCACTGGTGGCAGCTGCAGGGACAAATTCCAGCCCTGCTCATTCCTGTTTTGGTAATGACCACACACATCAATTTCTATGTATTTGCTATTTGTAAGGCAGTTTTGGGATCTCCCCTGCTGAAGATTCCTTCCTGGTCTAACATCAGGATACCTCAGGGCAAAACCTGGAGTTAAAAGTGCCCAGCACCCAGAAACAGGTGAGGAAATGAAAGGAACTGAAATTCCACTCATTAGGGGTTAAGAAACATTGAGAGCTTAATGGGAGTGATCCCAGGGCAAGCTCTGTCAAACACAGAGCAAAGAATAATTTATTTGGCAAATACAGCTCACAAATCCCTGTCTGGTGTAGGCCCAAAGCTTGTGCTCTGGAGAATAAACCTTTTATCAAAACAGAAGGCAATAATAATGTACATGAGGAACAGCAAGAGATTTTATTACAGATTTGAAAGAGCCTTGATTTTTATTTTGTATCTCTGATACAGAGGAAGCATCAGACTTTTTTATTATTAGGTGTTGAATTCATTTATTTTACCATCCTTTAGCAAACTTCAGCTGGTTTTCAGGTTTTGATTTCCCAAACATTTAATTTGCTTTTCAGGTTTTTCTTAATAGATTTCTTTAATATGAGGCACTTAGTTTGAAAAACAGCTTCTATTAAGTGCCTTCCAAATTAAATCCAGCAGAATTATATG